CCTTCTCCAGGGACTGATCCCTCCTAATAACATGTCCAAAGTATGTGATATGCAGTCTCACCATCCTTGTTTCTAAGGAGCATTCTTCTGGTTGGACTTCTTCCAAGATAGATTTGTTCGTTCTTTCCAACACCACAGTTCAAAGGTGTCAATTCTTCTTCAGTCTTCCTTATTTATTGTCCAGCTTTCACATGCATATGAGGCAACTGAAAACACCATGGCTTGGGTTAGGCACACCTTAGCCTTCAAGGTGCCATCTTTGCTTTTCAATACTTTAAAGAGGTCTTTTGCAGCAGATATGCCCAATGCAATGTGTCTTTTGATCTCATCTGCTGCTTCCATGGATGCTGCTTATTGGTCCAGCTGTGAGGATCTTTGTTTTATATTGAGGTGTAATCCATACTGAAGGCTGCGGTCTATCATCTTCATCAGTAAGTGCTTCAAAAGTCCTCTTCACTTTCAGCAAGCAAAGTTGTGTCATCTGCATATCACAAGTTATTTAATGAGTCTTCCTCCAATCCTAATGCCCTGTTCTTCTTCATATAGTCCAGCTTCTCAGATTATTTATTCAGCATACAGATTGAATAAGTATGGTGAAAGGATACAACCTTAACGCACACCTTTCCTGACTTTAAACCACGCAGTATCCCCTTGTTCTGTTTGAACGACTGCCTCTTGATCTATTACAGGTTCCTCATGAGCACAGTTAAGTGTTGTGGAATTCACATTCTTCGCAATGTTATCCATAACTGGTTATGATCCACACAATCGAATGCCTTTGCACAGTCAATAAAACACAGGTAAGCATCTTGCTCGTATTCTCTGCTTTCAGCCAGGATCCCTCTGATATCGGAAGTGGTATCCCTTGTTCCACGTCCTCTTCTGAATTCGGCTTGAAATTTCTAGCAGTTCCGTCGATATACTGCTGCTGTCACTTTTGAATGATCTTCAGCAAAATTTTGCTTGCATGTGATATTGATACTGTTTGATAATTTCCACATTCAGTTGGATCACCTGTCTTGGGAATGGGCATAAATAAGGATCTCTTCCAGTCAGCTGGCCAGGTAAGCTGTCTTCCAAATTTCTTGGCATAGATGAGTGAGAACATGCAGTGCTGCATCCGTTTGTTGAAACATCTCAATTGGTATTCTGTCAATTCCTGGAGCCTTGTTTTTTGTCAATGCCTTCAGTGTAGCTTGGACTTTTTCCTTCCGTACCATCGGTTCCTGATCCTATGCTACCTCCTAAAATGGTTGAAGGTAGACCAATTCTTCTCGCTATAGTGATTCTGTGTTCAATAGGGAGTCCAAACTTGACAAAAATAAAAAAAGAAATTTCCATCTAGACAAATCATACCAAAACTTTAGAAAATTAGATAAATATCTTAAAAGCAGCCAAAACATAAAGTACAGCTTATTTTAAAATAAGCAACAGTTCAACTTACAAGAATGAAAGCCAGAAAATGGTGTAATAGCTTTGATAAGCTGAAAACAAAACAAAACCATGAAACAAACAAAAAAACTGCCAACCCAGAATTCCATACCCAGTGAAAATATTGCTCAAGATTGAATAAGGCTGTCTTCAGACAAATGAAAACCAAGAACATCTGCCACAAGAAGACCTAAAGATATTCAAAGGATGAATTCAGTTACATTAAAATTAAGAACTGTTCATTAAGAGTCACCATAAAGCAAGTGACACAACAGAACAATACAACAGAAGGTAACTGCAATACGTATAACCTAAGGACCAGTGGAATATCTAAGATCCAATATAAAAAAAGACAGACCTCACAGTAGAAAAAATGGACAAACAATCCGTAAAGGTATTTCTCAAAAGAGGAAATCCAAAGTTCAATAGACATATGAAAAGATGACCAACCTTATAGTAATCAGGAAAATGTAAATTAAATTCACAATCAAATAGCATTAACACACCTACCAACTGGCAAAAATTAAAAAGCATGACAACAGTATTGGTGAGGATATGGAGGAACAAGAACCCTTATGTACTCGTTGGAGGAGTATAAACTTGGACAATTATTTTGGAAAACAGTCTGGCCATATCTTAATTGAAGAAGCATATATTTTATAACCAAAAAAATTCCACTCCTTGGCATACACCCTAGAGAAAGTGTTCACCAGGAAATATACAAAAATATTCACAGCTCTATAGCTCTTAATAGCCATAAACTGAAAACAACTCAAATGTCCCTTAACAGTAAAAAAGGACAATTAAATGGTGGCATATCCATACAGTGGAATAGTACGCAACAATGAAAATGAATAAAGTGTAGCTACAGACAACAACAGAGATAGACTTCAAAGATAACATTAAGCAAAAGCAGGAAGTCACAAAAGAATGTGGTACGATTCCATTTCTGTAAAATGTAAAAACTAAACTGTGCACTCACAGGAAGTCAAACTGTTAATAGCAGCAAATAAACGGTTATTAGAAAAGTCAGAATAATGGTAATGAGAGGGAGGGAATTCTGCTGGGATAGAGGAAATTCTACTGGAGCAGAGAAAATAGGAGTCTCTGAGGGTCCTGGCTATGATCTACATAGTGTCCTTCAATAGTATTTAAAACATCTCTTTAAACAGTAATATGCTCATGTTACACACACATACACACATATGTATCAACAAAAAAAACTGAGGCAATTTGGACATACTTTCACATTTTGGGTATTTGTAACATTAGACAGAATCAGGCCTATCAGAATATCAGCTAAACCTTCTAAACCCAATTTAAATTGTGTAAATGCATAATTGACCTAAGACTTGTAATTTTTAAGTTTTTATGTGATTAGAAACTTAGAAATCTTAGTTATATGAGGCACTGGAATATTCAAGAGAATGCAAGTTTCTACATATTTATTATTCGTATTTATTTATTAAGAGTTTACTTTATTGTAATTGTAAAAGATATTTATGTTCTTGAAAAGGTTTTAACTCAGAGAACTGAAGTTCTTGAAATAGAAACTGAGTATATTGAATTTTTAAATGCAGCTTAAAATGTTTAAAGAAGTTTAATTAAGTTTAAATGGGACAAAATAGTATCCAAAGCCCATTATTTAAAAGTATTTGCTGAAATTTGCTAAACTCATCGAATAGAAAAATAAAATTCCATGAGATGACCTTAAAAGCTTAAAAAAGCACTAACTCTTTGGATTTACAGCTCTAAGACATCAACTATTAATTTTAAAAGCAAACTTCTAAATAATCTTTTTCTGCCAACTTTTTCAGAATATGCAAAGCAATTCTTATTTAACACTATCTCTTTTCTAATCACATAAAAACAAAGAAGAAAACCTATGTGAAAAGATTTTGGGGTTAATTTAGTTAGAATTTGTCTAGGATTATATGCAAAAACATAAACCGCTTGGCAATTGATATGGTGACATATATTGCTTTCCAAGTAGCTATTCTTTCTTATTTCAGGGGGTAGAGCGGAGCAGTCCACTGACCAATTTGAGCATCTGATGAGTGCTATGAATTTCCAGAAAAATGCATAAGACATACACATGCAAAATCCTAAAATCAATTTTAAAGTAGCCAAAGATCTCTTGAAAATCAGGGTAAGGAAAACTTATACTCTCTATTCTCCCAGTAGCCAACTACTAAATCGGGGCTAAAATTAGACACATCATCTAGCAAAAACAATTATATACGTTTTTATTATTTTAAATCTGAAAGTTACTGCCTTTATGACCACAGGCTCACTTATTCTGCTTTGTCACTTAAAGATGAACAAGATACTACTTTTTACCTATTAAATATGCAAAGTTTTATTTTGTTTTAAAGAATACATTGGCAAGGATAAGAGGAACCATAAGCAATTCTCATACATTGCAGGTCGGAGTATATAGTTATACAACCTTTCTGGATACAATTTGGAAATTATATATAGCCTCAAATATGTGGGCAATATCCAACTCTTTGACCTACCAGTTCCACTACTAAATATTTATCATAAGAAAATAATTCTGGATGTGAACAAGGACGTTCATCAAAAGCACTCTTTCCAAAAACCTGCAGAGAGCATAACATGATCAACAATGGAGGAGTAAACAGTGTAGGGTACAATGGAACATTATGCAAAAATTTAAAGTATATCTAAGAAGAATATTTAGTGGCATGAAAAAGCTTGTGGATCTACTGATAAGAGAACAAAGAGTCATTTTCTACATAGCCATGATCTGATGTTTTTCAAAAAGGAAATAAGGTCTATAAACAGGAAAACAAGACTAGAAGGGTATATGACAAATTTTTCATGTGGGGGAAATCATGTTTTAAAAAATATTTCGATAGTCAAAAAAAAAGACAAAGAGATAGTAATTTACTAGATTATATCTGCTCTTTGTTCATTTTGGCTTTGGCCTGATCTAAGAAGCATGCAGTAAGAGGTATCCATTCTGTAAGTTTTATTTATTATTATTGCTGTTGTTTGCCTACACGTTTAATGGTATTATTTGAGTATTTGTGATAATCAAGAAAAACCAAAGTAGTACTTCCCCCCTCTACAATGCAACTCTCAAATTTAAAGCTAACTTTGAAAAACAGGATATATAATAATACATTATGATCATAACTATACTGAAACAAAAAGACAAGAGAAATGTACCAAAAACTTTTAAAAGTAGTTGTCTTTCAGTAATGATACCACAGGTGGTTTCCCCTATTTTTTACTTTCTCATTTTTCTAATATTTCTAAGATGAGCATATATTATATACTTTCATAGTAAGGAAAAAACCTAAGTTACCCACTGGACCAATATGTTCTAACTACAAAGTCTCCGGGAGGTTATACATATGTCCTTAAGAAAAGTTTATGTCTATTACATTACTACCAAACAACTTAATCATCTCCCAAATCCATAATGAGATATGTGAAACCTTAAATAGAGACAGGAGCCATGCCATAGTTCTAATGCATTCTAAAGAAGAAGAGTGGAAAATAATTACTTTTGGAGAAGTTAACTTTTTGTCTTCTGCAATTAAGTTAATCATTATTTCTAACTTGTTAAAAAAAAAAAAAAAAAAAACCACCTAATACTAAAGAAGCTCAAATACTAGGCAATGATAAAGAAATTAAAGGAAAATTAGTCAATACTAAATACTGACTAATGCAGGTCATATTCTGAACATGAAAATCTATCATGTAACTTGAGATACTATTTTATAATCTTCTCCTACTGCAAGCCAAATGAAAACATATTTACTTTCTTTTTGAAAAATAAGGCAAACTTTGAATGCTTCCTGAAGAATTTTTTAAAATTTCTAACCCCAGCATCTTTACTATGAAAAATGTTTTGTTTAATTTACTTTTCAAGAATTCCTCAAGTTTACTATTTCTAATTTGAATTATTCTATTTTGATGATTTAATTATTTTATATCTAGGAGGAGAAATAATAGTTTTGGATATAGTTCAATATATAAAAACAAACTTAATCTAGGTTTCATTCTGAAAGTTACAGTCAAAGTAACTATTCTACCAGTATTCACACACCCTGATAGTTGGCTTGACAAGTTAAAATCATAAAACTATAAAAATCAGAGCTGACAGGGGCTCTAGTGATTGCTAACCTTGCCACCAGTTATGATTTTTTTTTTCCCTGCCGACCTCCACTATGTCTTCCAATTAAATTTGATGTTTTCATTAGTCTTATCATTAAGGCAAATGCAGTTTCTGTTAAGTCTTTTGAAAAACTGAAAATAACTTACATCTTCCTGATCTAGTACCTGTGAAGGTGATTTTAAGTTATCAACTTGGCTAGGCTAGGGTTCCCAGTTGTTTGGTAAAACACTAATCTAGTTGTTATTATGAAGTAGTTACATGTGATTTTATCAGTTGGCTTTAAATAAAGCAGATTACCTACCTTAATGTGTGTGGGTGAACCTCAACCAATCAGTTGAAGGCCTTAAGAACAAAAAGGGAGTTTTCTTAGGCCGTACTCTGTCTTCAGACTATAAACAGACATTTTGCTACAGCTCCCTCATTCTTCACTCTTCCCATGGCCTAATCTATGGTTCTGTTTCTCTAAAGAACCTTCACTAAGACATACCCCAGGGATTAGCAGACCCTTGGGTGGGAATGATCCATCTAGTTTAATCTCCTAATTTCACATATAAGGTGGTTCTGGATTTAGAGATTTGGACAGTCAAAAAATTACCTATCTTACAAACATTATACACTGACCAATGCAGTGTTTCTAGAAAAACTGCATCCTGTGAATAAAGTAACCTATTAAGTATCAACAATTGAAATCAAATCAAAGACAACCTCAACTGGACTGTTTCCACCTGTGACATAATAAAAATAAATGCTTCACATTATAGACACTACAGTTTTCTTTAAGCCTTTTTTTTATTTACAGATTTTTCTGGTAAGGAGATATACCATAGGAAAGCAATTTCACTGGCAGTGAGGTATGTATATACTCTACCAAAATACTTCTTATTTAACGGTTTTTAACTTTATTTACATACGAAGAAAATTATCAATGCATATCCTTGGCTCAACTATAGTATTAGCCATACTACATGAAATAAAATGAAATGGTGCTTGCATACAAAAACTGTTATTTGTAAAGGAATCTGATTTCATATTAAAAGAACTAATTTGTTTTTGGAAAGAGTTCAAAATAAGAGTCACAATTTATCATGACCAAGACACCTGCACCATATTTTCCATTCCTCACAGCACATTTATTTCAGTAATTCCGTTATGTCGGTTCTTAGCATGAGCATAGTGTTACACGATTTTCGTACATATAATTACATCCAAAACAAGTTCTAAAATTTAAATTGTAAACATTCTCATCATATGTAGAAATATGTCAATTGGTGCATTAAGTTTTGCTAACTGATCAAATTTGGAGGAGAATATAAATGAGAAAGTCTATTCTAAATTGTGTAGTGAGCATCATTTATTAATTACATTTCTACAATGTTAAATAAAGAGGCAAACCTGTCCTGTAAGCATGTCAAATTTTAGGTAAAACATTAAAAAGAAACAAATCTGTTAACAAAAGGATGTCTTGCAATAAAGAACATTAGATTTTTTTTTAAATCTATTATGATACAAAAATGTAAAGGGTAAATAGCATCTTTGTTGACAAAGTAGGAGGTAGCATGGATGCACCACTTTATTGTCTGAGAAATGCAACTGGAGTAAAGAATATTTCCTTACCACAAATAATTTCCAGGACTATGTACATATTTCTTTTAGAAATATTTGTTTAAACAAATCTCCCTCCACTTTTTAGTATAAAAAAAACCGTTTCGTGTGGTTTTAAAAAAACACTTACACATCTAGATAGAATAGTACTCATTGCCCTATTTGAGTGAACAGTCTCGAACTATGAAGTACATGATATTTAATGCCCTAAATTGAGTAAATTTAGTTAGCGGTTCCTGGTATTATACAAAACACTAAGTACATACAAACAAAATATAATATCTTATTTTTCTATGCAAGTCTTGTGGGGAATAAACAGAGCCTTGATTCTGTAACACTGAAGAGAACATAATTTTCCAATAAGTCTGTCTATAAGTACCCATGTGCAACAGTTTATAAATGGCTGCTTACATGTAGTAATGATTTTTTATTGAGTGAACACAATTAACTGACAAAACGTAGTAAACCTTAAAAACACATCTTCCACCCTATATAAAATATATAGACTACTTACTGTTTTAAGTATTCAATTTGCTCTGATGTCACTGTAATTCACTCTTTCCCATTTTCCTGTTTTAGTATTTATAAACGGATAATTTAATGTGGCTTAAAAAAAAACACAAAGAATTTCAAATTTACATCCAATTCAAATTTGCAATTTAAAAGGTTTCCTTGTTCTATGAAGCTGCTTCTGCCATTAGTAGAGAAAATGAAGTTTCTGTAATGGAGGCAGGCTTTTTAAGTAGTGACGTGACTTCCACCATGCCAGCTCCAGTCCGTGGAAGATTAGCGTTTACAATGTGTCGTTGTAAGTGCTTAATCCAGTCTTCCTGAACAGACAATGGTCCTCGAAAGACTAGGCCACAAAACCTACAAAAAGATAACAGATCTCTTAACATGACTAATTCCCTTTATTTAAAACCAATTCACATAAAACCCATAAACATAAGGAGTAAACATTAGAGACAGTGCTTGAATAACAGTTTCTAAGTAAATATGAAATTGAAGTAATTCAATACAATATCAAAACTCCCAATTCATGTTTAATAGCTACAGTAAACGCCAGTACTATTTGTAGAGGTGGGAACACTATTAGAAGGTTAAAATAAATAAAAAGGTCTTCATATTTACCTAACTTAATATATTTAAAATAACTATTAACTCCAAAATGTATCACTCTTTAGGAAAGACTCCTCTAATTCAGAACTCCTTAAACTGCAATGTCTACGCATGTTTGTGTTTGGTGTATGTAAGTATGGGAAGTGGGAGTGAATGAGTATGTACAGATATACTTAGTAGTATAAACCAAAACCCAACCAAACCCACTGAGAAAATGTGTCCCCAATAAGGAACTCAAGACAGTAAAAACAGATACTCCACTGGTCTCACCCTTTCGGGAGCAAGGGAGAATGAAGAAAACAAGATACAAGGGAAAGATTAGTCCAAAGGACTAATGGACCACAACTACCATGGCCTCCACCAGACTCAGTCCAGTACAACTAGATGGTGCTCGGCTACCGCCACTGACTGCTCTGACCAGGATCACAACAGAGGGTCCTGGACAGAGCTAGAGAAAAATGCAGAACAAAATTCTAACTCACAAAGAAAGACCAGATTTACTGGCCTCACACAGACTGGAGAAACCCTGAAAGTATGGCCCCCGGACACCCTTTTAGCTCAGTAATGAAGTCACTCCTGAGGTTTACCATTCAGCCAAAGATGAGACAGCCCCATAAAACAAAACGAGACTAATGGTGCACAGCTGTCCAGGGACAAGGACTAGAAGGCAGGAGGGCACAGGAAAAGCTGGTAATAGGGAACCCAAGGCTGAGAGGGGACAGTGTTTACATGTTGTGGGGTTGTTAACCATTGTCATAAAACAATATGTGCACTAACTGTTTAATGAGAAACTATTTGTTCCATAAACCTTCATCTGAAGTATAATTAAAAAAAGAAAATTTCCCAATGGGGGAAGAAAAACAAAACTTAATAGTATTGAGAGAAATTAAAGATCTAAATAAATGAATGTGTATACTATATTCATGGATTAAAAACTCAAAAAAAAGTAAAAACAAACAAACCTAATTAAAACAAACAAACAAAAAAAACCTTTATAAATCACATTACAATAGTCTATTGAGTAATGTAAAAGCCATGATTCATTACTTTTTGAAATAGAGGTATATGATATATTAAAAGTACAGTATATTTTAAGGCTTTCTCCTTTATAACTTGACTGTTGAAAATACATTCTATGCCACAAATTAAAAACCCCAAATAAAACAGCTAATATGTCTCAAAACAAAACGTGAAGAAGCTGACCAGATGTGGCAATCTATACCTGCATCGGAGAATGTAAACCTCGTCAGCACCATGAGGTAATGAGAGCATTTTCTTCTTGCTTCCAGATCTTGACCTTGATTTCTTTTGCTTACAATCTAAGGCTAAAAAAGGGAAGAAAAAGACTTAACATTTCCTTATATATTTCAAAATTTACAAACGTACATATGTTTCTAACGAGGTCAGACCATCGAAACCAAGTTACGAAAACTCTGCATTCATTTGCCTATTCCCTGAACCATGCACTAATTTGCAGTTGATTCTCTAAGAGTAGTGAGAGATTATTTGCATATATTCCCCCTATGCTCTTTTTTCAAATAATCTGGTTAAATCTTTCTTGTTTCCAGGAAAATTGTAACCTTTTATTTAGATCATTAAGTTTGCATTTGATTACTACTCCATTAAGTAGGTCTCACATGCTTTTGAAAACTTATTAAGGGAACATCAACAATGCAATGAAAAATCAATTTTTAAAGCAATTCACTTTGAATTCTATAATAATAAATAGCTCTTAAAAATTATATTCTGGCCCTACATTTGAAAGGGAAGAAAAGCTCAATTTTCATTTTGTTAACTCAACCTGTGTTGCATGTACAGTCATGTAAGTTTAATTTTACTAGAAAATACATATAAATCCAGATTATCTCACATGACAAGTTTAAAAATAGACCGGAAGTTTAATGCTAACTATTCTTGACATTTTTGGCACTTTTCATTTTCTCCAGTAGCTTATTTTAAAAGTATGATTACAACAGGAAAAAACAAAAAATTTTATATTAAAGTGGGCCAAAATTTTAATTATTGAAATTTTTTCATCATTTTACTTTTCTTCATCACTTATCCTTAAAAAAAAAAAAAAAAAGTGATTTAATAAAGGAAAATAAAGATTTTTTTACTAGATAGGAATAGACAGGATACAACATTTTAATGGTCTTTGGATATAGCTATACCATTCCTTTGGATGAATGGATGATAAAAATCCAGGGTGCTCCTGGTCAATTAGCAGAAAGAGAAGGTAAGAGTTTATCTCTAGGGATCCAAGGGGGAGGTATATAAATGTAACAGAAGAGTTACCCAAATGACTTTTCTTCTGTTAACTTGCCCCTGAAATCTAGAAAAACTGTAGGTAAGAGAGAATAGGAACCAGCTAGTCAATGATTCTGTGAAATGTCAAAGTCCAGATTCCAAAAGAAGAGATGCTACTATCGTAAAACCAAAAAACATAGTTCCTTATAGTAGTCAAGTGGCAATGCCAACAGAAATGTCATATAGAAAATTAAAAACTAGAGACACCTAAACCTCATTCAAGCCACTGCTTTCAGCTTCCTGTCATCTTCCTGTTTAAAAGTAAAATCTAGGGCTTACTCAAGTCTTTCTCTGCTCATCCTCAGAAGAAGAGTCTAATATGTAAAGAACTACTGGAAGTTAGGTATTAAAGAATTGCTACTTCAAAGCTACACAATCAAAATCTGGGCTATAAAAATCTTATAAGGTTCTCATTAGTTATCTCAGTCAAGTGCCTGGCACACAGTAGGAACTCAACAAATACTCCTAGGGTAAAATAAAAAATAAAGGAACCCGTAATTTAACCTTTGACATGAAGACAACGTATGAACGGAAATCTGTTCCACCGATATATAGAACAACACCTCTGCATCACTTGTTTAAAAAGAATGTGTTACTAGCGGTCACACTTAAATTCTTCAATATCCTAGACATAAATCACTAGGCAGTCTAGCTTATGCGTAATGAATAAGGAAGCAAAACTAGGCTCTTCACAACCTGTAGGAAGAGTGAGGTACCATGTACGTTTGTAATGAGCACCTTCTCCTAGTTGCTTTGGAAGATAGTTTGGATTTAAGTGGATTTTAAGCAATTCATACACTGGAATAGTTCAGGGTACTCAAAGAGCTAAATGCTACTAGATGTCAGGTACTCTTTCCCTATCTATAAGGTAAACCACAGATGATCCCTATCTTCGTTATGTAGAACAGAGCAAGCATTTGGTATCATGAGATTATAGGTAGAATCTTACTTTGGTGAGTTTGCTGGTTGTCAAAACTGCCACACTGTATTCAAACTCCTTTTAAAATGCAAATAAATTACTATAGGATATAAATAGAATACATCATAACAATCCTTTAAAAGTTTATTCATAGAATGCTAATGTTAGGTGTATAAAGCAATTGAGCAAGAAGGGTAGAGGATGGTGGGGAGGGATGCAAGAATGTTTTTATCAGTTACAAAGCATGTAAATTTACATTTAGATACTGTAATACTTTAAAAATAAAACTGGACACTTTTACCCTGAAGCACAGAAAAGTTTCTTACTTTTTCTTTAATGGAGAAAAAAAGAGAATATTTTCTGAGTTTTGGTGCTATATAGATTCTAGAGACTCTGAAGTTTAGGCTGTTTTATGAATGATCAGATCTAAATTTTAGATGAAAATGCCAAAGTTTCTGTAGTAATTATATTTGAAGGTGTTATAACCTTGGAAAGTAGGATAACTCTGCCAACATATGAATGACACTCTACTATAGCGCTCCAAGTAAAGTTAGAGAATCTCATGCATTGAGAATCCTTGGAAACTTGTCCATAAGGTAAAGATACTAAAAATCCAGGACCTCTGATAATTGTACCTAAGTGCCTCAGTGTCTTAATATCTCCACCATCAGCTCTAAATTTCTTATTCTTTGAAACGTTACTGTTTTTTAGAAGGTAAAATATAAATACATTTTACAGGAATAATTGTTTCTGATACCAACCTCCACCCTGCAATATTACCCATACATTTTAGAAAAATCTGTAAAAAATTGCGTATTTAACATATTATTAATAGGCACATAAAGGAGACATCTATATGATACCCAGTAAATGAAAGATGATTTACACAAAATGTTCCATTAAATGAAAAAGATGATGAACAAACATGTTTATTATACAAAATGTCATTAAACAAGAAGATTTCATTGTATCTAGAGGGAAAAGCAGTTTTATTACAGACTAGTCACTGGAACATTAAAAACAGAACATTACTAACACACTCAGTTTTAGTATAATGCGGCTCATCAATATTTGTGATAAATAGCCAAAGGTTTAACAAAGTTGTTTATATGAACAATCTGCCAGCTAGACAACTTTGTCATACAAAGTCTTCTTTGTAATAGGATTTTATTTGCATTTATTTGTCAGTGTCAAAAACAAAACAAAACATCCTTTTTCCCTTTCCAAAGTATTTTAAATCTGTTAACATTGTTTCTATACTTGAAATTTACAAAAAATACTAGATTAGCTTTAGAAGATCTTCATTTTCTTCTCCTTGAGCATAACTGCTTCTTTAGAAAGGAACAGATCCAGTCACTCAAATCTTCGTAAGGTTCCTACTCAGGGTGGTAGAAAGCACTTAAGTGATCCACTTAAACAAGAATGTAAAACATTTTTGAAGTTCTCTGAGTTATAAAGAATCTAAACTGCTAGTGGGAATATTCTACTTTTAAGGAGAATGACTTGAGCTGTAAGGTCATATACAAAAAATTTTAGAATACCTGTTTTGGTCAAACAGAAATATTAGAGAGAAATACATAGACTTATGAACCCTCAAGAAGAACACCATATTGCTATGCTATAAAATACAACAACGATGATGACGACAACATACATGTTTCTAAAGCACTGAACTGTACCAGTGTAAAGCAAGTCAATAAATACAACACATACAAATTCAAGTCGTTTTCTGAGGCATTATTTAGTTTTACAAACAGAATAAAAAAAATACATAGTTTTGGCTCTAACATTTTAAACTAGAATCCTTTGTCCATTCTACCTTCCTATGCATTATATGTAATAATTGCTTCAACAAATTTTATCTTCTTTTTCCTTCAATATACACAAATGACCTCAGAGAATGAAGATACATTTATTTCAAAAAAAACACCTGAGCTTCTGTGATAAAGAAGCATACCATAACTAAATTAGTATTCATCCCCGCATGTTTTTATTTGCAATCATCTTTTCCTGTCTATTATTTAATAGCTCCATTTAGTCTGTTTCATTCTTGACTGTTGGCACCACTGGGAGTAAAGTGAAATTTAACATAATAACCAGGTTATCTATACTCAAAATAAGAGGCACAGCATAGCCCTACTAGACGGAAGAAAATTTCTTCATTTAGTTGGCCTGCATAAGGCTGCATACTACTGTATAGGCAGTAGTAGCTACAAGCTGATTCAGGAAGATAGCAGGGACAAGGATGTTATAAATAAATAAACTATCATTCCACCTCCATTAAAAAGCTGGTAGTGGTGGTGGAGGTTGGTGAGGTAGAAGAGGATGCATGTCTCGAGGGGCAGACAGAGTGATATGAATAAACTCAGTTCCAGTTACTGCCACTATTCCTTCAAAGATCGTAAGCTCCAAGCTTATAAGAAACTATGCAAATAGCATTTTCTTTCTCTCAGCCCCAACTACAAAAGAATTGGTGCTTTTTTTTAATCTGAAGAACCCCGTTAGCTTTGATGACATAGGGATGGGGTGTCACTTGTAGAGAGGCCAAACTCATTTCTTCAGCTTAGGTAATGCCTTTCTCTCTGCAAATAGTGCTTACTGGACCGGCTTCATGGGCATGTGACCTGTGCAGGTACACAAGGCCCCCACACTCAGTTTAAGGCTGTACTGTTGGAGTCTTGAAATCCTTAATAATTTTTGAACAAGAGGTGTCACATTTTCATTTTGCGCCAGGACCTGCAAATTATATGTAATTTGCTGGTCCTCAGTATCCTTACCTTAGTGAGAAAGGCTGTACTCAGTTCCACCTCTTAATCTCTTGGTCTATAAAAAGTACTTAATAAGATCAAAACTGCTAAAGCCCATTAAAATTGGGAAGGACTTTCCTACTCCAAACACCAACTCTTTGCTCCTAACTATACCCCCATAATCAGACCAATCATTATTCCCAAAACATATATATAAAGCAATATAAGTAGTTTATTGTTACGAAAAGCAATGTTCTCCTTCCAATCAGGAATTAATCAGGTATACAATTAGCAACCTCTCAGGTGTTTATTTTCACCATCTTTTCCCCTGATAGCGTCACTCTAAAACACT